CTAACACTGGGAACTGTTTCTCAGTGGGAATGGCCTTCTCTTCACCAAAGATGACCTGATGATGATGGTCACTGATTCTGTCTAACCTTTCAGCAGAGGTGGTGAAAGGAATCCTCGAATGATGCTGTTGGTAGGTGAGGGTTCCAGATGATAGACTGCTTATATTAGATTCTTTTCATTGCATTTTTAACTTGACAAATGAAGATTGTATGTAATTATGACACACAACATGATTTCTCTGTTACATGTGTACAGGAGCAATGACTAAATCAAGCTAATAAATATTTTAATTATCTTAGATACTTTCCATACTAACATCTAAACTCTTTCAGTGAGTTTTAGTTATAAAATACAGTGTTATTAAGTGGGATGTGGTAGCACACTCCTGTAATTCTAGGACTTTGGAGGGAGAGGCAAGAGGTTGAGAGATTCACGATCATCCTTGGCTGCATAGTGAGTTCAGGACCAGGCTGGGATACCTGAGATTCTGTCTCAAAAAACAAGACAAAATCTAACTAAACAAAACATTATTAGTTATAGACACCATGATCTCCAACAGAGCTCTAAAATAGTTCTCTGGCTGTGTCAGCTCTTCATCTTTAGTTATGTTCTAATTTAATTATGTTTTACTTAGGAAACATTTCACCCATATAGTTAAAACCTGCAAGGGAAAGTCATACGGTGAATACTCTATTCTTTGAAACTCCCCATGATACCAGTGAATAACAGGTACACAACTTGTACAGCAAGTGCTTTGACCTTCTGAGTCATCTTTCTGGTCCCCATTTTCAGTTTTCAAAATTAGAACTGTGGCTCTCCTTGTCCTCAGGGATCATCAGCCAATATGGTCCCAAAGTGTAATGGGAGCAGAGAGTGTGACCAGGAAAGGGTGAGTGGGAGGAAGGGGTCGGGGGGAGGAGGAGGTGGTAAAGAAGCACTGTGAGTATGTACCATGAATGATCATACCAGACCAGCTGAGGGGAGTCATACCAACTTTACTTAGGGTGATTCAAGGCGTATGTAATTTGGGGGACTGAGAGTAGGAACATCCAGGATGGGCAAAGGTTATGGACTGAGGGCTTAGGGTACCAAAATACCTCATTAGCATGGGAAGAATTTTAGGAAGCTCAGGTTCTAGCTAGTTCTTATCAGGAAAAGAAGTTGATCCTGGAATCTAAGGCTATGTGACATTCTGCTGGTAGAAGATTTTGAATTCCCCAGACAAGGTCAGAGGAGAAGACGTGCATTTGAAGGGAGTTCTCTACATGGCACTGAGCTCAGAGGCTGTCCAGCTCATGGTGGACTTTGACCTTAATTAGTGGAGTTTCCCCACATCTGGCTCTGATTTAGTTTTCAATGAGAAATCTCACTAAAGTATTCAACCTCTGTATTGGGGACAGCTTGGTACTGAACCAGAACCTGCTTCGCAGCAGTTTTTCAATGCTATTATCTGCTGTTTTAAAAAACTGGAGAAGGCAGGGATAAAACATAACATAAACCAAGAGGGATAGTGAGGGGTGGGAGCCAGCAACAAGAGATTATTGAACTAAAGTAATCACTCAGTGGATTGAAATCTCTAGAGCAAGTCTGTACAGAGTTTTCTGAGTATATAACATATATATATATATTTACACCAAAAGAAGAGAGGTGGTAAAGCACATGTTAAGCCAGTAAGAGTTTGATTGACAGCACATCAGTGCTCCATTGCTATAGACCTAGGAGAAAGGCAAGGGTGTTAACAAATCTTAATCTTGGAAGCAGGAAGTCACCTCAGTTATATTAAGTAAGGCAGAGGGGAGAGTTGGAAATTATTTATCTCATTTGCTTAAGGGAGCTGAGAAAGAAAACATCATATTAAAAATGTATTCAGAATGGGCAATAACCATTTGTCTGTGAAAAATAAACTGCCTTCAGTAGATGGTCCTTTTTTTATATATTGAAAATTAGTAATAGTTGTTAACGCAACCCCTTTGGCTTGTGGGAGGTCCACAAAGAAGCTTGACTACCTAAGACTCCTGGCAGTGGGGGATACAGAGCCTGATCCAGCTATCTCCTGAAAACAGGCATGACTTCCAATGGAGGGACTGAGATACCAACTCAGTCAAAAAAACCTTTAAATTTGTCCTGCTTACAAGATCTGCTGGGGTAAAGGTGGTACAGAAATTGTGTAAGTGGCCAAACAACTGCTCCATCTTGAGATCCATGCCATGAGAGGGAGTTCCCCCTCAGCTCCCCCCCCAACCCTGGCACTGCCTGGAGGGTCAGGATCCAGAGGCCAGATAGAGATCCATGATAGAATCAAACATGATTTGGAAAAAAAGTCAATGAAACTATTCTTTAAAAAAAAAGATTTATTTAAGATTTATGTATTTTAGCTGTCTTCAGACACACCAGAAGAGGGCATTGGATCCCATTACAGATGCTTGTGAACCACCATGTGGTAGCTGTGAATTGAACTTAGGACCTCTGGAAGAACAGCCAGTGCTCTTAACCACTGAACCACAGAGCCTGAACTCAGCCTCTCCAGCCTCAGTGAAACTATTCTTAATGCTATTCTGCTGTGCTCATAGGTTGGTGCCTAACTCAGTCATCAGAGAGGTTTAATCCAGCAACTGATGGAAACAGATGCAGAGAACCAAGACCAAACATTAGGTAGAGCTTCAAAATACAGTGGAAGGAGGAGGGGGAAGGAATTTAAAAGCCAATGAGCTCAAGGAGACAAGGAAACACACAGAATTTACTAGCCTGGGATCATAGAGTATCACAGAGACTGAACCCATGAACAGGGAGCCTGAATGGATCTGACCTAGGTACTAGCTTGGTCTTCTTGTGGTATGCCTAACAGGAGGTAAAAATTAATTAAAAAGAAAAAACTGTCCTTTCTGTTCCTTGGCCCAGGGGAACTCATGAAGGTTCAGCTTCTCTAGCTTTCAGGATGGCTCAGCTATGTGAGCCTTAAGCACAGGATGCTTACTGCCCATGGAGCAGTGCTTGACCGGTGGAGACTGAAGGTATGTATATGCACTTATCTGGTGCAGGGTCTCTATGCTCAGGACACACGGGTGTATTAACAAAGCACAAATAGCTATTAGTCCTGTCCTCTAGAGACAATTTCCAACACTATTTTGACATAACCACTACCAATTTTTCAGGATGGCTACACATCACATATACTTACAATTGAGATTCCACTATAGAGAAATTTTCATATTGCCTTTTGAAAAGGACTATACTGAATTTTCATGTATTATTAGATGTGTTTGAGAACAAGTTCTGAATTATGAGCATGTTCAGTCTTATAAATGTGTCACATAAACTCTGTTCTGTGGATGGGACTCCAATGTACTTTAAAATTAAGAACGTTGAGATGCAAATCTGTATTCACCTGTCTTCTCACAGGTCCCTTTTAACTCTTAATCAATCCCTGGAAATAACTTGCTTGGTTACAGGGATTCACCATGCCCTCAGAAGCCATGGGTGTTGCCTGTCTCAGTCTCTGGTTTGTGTCCCCATGCTAGGACAAGCTCTCCACCAGCCATTCCTTTTATGGGAAGATGGCGTTTTTATCCTGCTGTGTGCTTTCTATCAACCATTCTTCTTGTGGGTGAATGTCTGTACTGAGCAGCCATAGGCCTGGGGCTTCCTGGTGGTCTGCACAGAGCAAGTTGTAAATGGATGGATGGGTGGATGGGTGGATGGATGGATGGATGGATGGATGTTGCTCTAGCTGACTTTGTGATCGTTTTTCTTTATGTTGCTTTTAGCCAACGGTTCTGTTGCAGCAACTAAGATGCAATCCCCTCTGGCTCCCCTTAGAACTTTACAAATGGGAGAGCTCTTGTCCAGATGAGTTCTGGCAAGATTGTTTGACCCTAGCTGTCCTACCTATACCACCTGTGTAAATCTCAGCTGAAGGTGATTCTGCAACTTTGCCCTCAGGGACATGGATCAATAGCTGGAGAGATTTTGTGTGAGTGTGCAGATGGTATTGTTACTGACATCTACTGGAGAAAGGCTAGAAACACTTTAAAGCTCTCACATCTGGTTTGCTATATAAAATGTTCCCAGTGATTCTGAATTAGTAAATATAAGTTAGAGTTGGTATAGGGTTAGTTAAGTTAGAGAATGGGAGATGGATCAGTGCTTAAGAAAGCATGCTGTGAAAGCAAGAGAACTCAAGTTTGAATCCCCAACACCCTTATAGAAAATTTGGTTTGGCTAAGTGTGCCTGTAATCTCAGGACCATGAGACAGGAGGACCTTTGGGGCTTTCTGTTCACCAGTGTGGCTTCAGGTTCATTGAGGACCCTGTCTCAAGGGATTCTGGCAGAGAGTGATAGAATAAAAGAATACAATATTTGATATTCTCTTCAGTTCTACTTGTGCCTGCATGGGCACACATACCTATACACACATGCATATACACAATATACACATTTACACACACACCACTCTCTGTCAGACAAGAGAGAGAAAAGGAGATAGAAAGAAGGAGAAAGAGAGAGAAAGAGGGAGAATGATAAATATTAAAGAAAGGATAGGTATAATTTCTTGTTTAAGTTGGACATACAGACCTTACCCAGGAATAAACTTAGTTTTCCTTTGTTATTTTCATCTCTCTGCCTGTTTCATAAGTATCTCTCTGTCTCTGCCTGTTCCTTCAAACCATCCCCAAGTCCCTCATGCTCTTTTCCAAATCTTAAGTTGTTAAGGTGTGAATCAGATTTTTTAATACAGGGAGAAGAGAGCAGCTGAGAGAGGAGACACTCATTGCAGTCTTCAATCTGGGTCTTTATTGAGGTTTATGGAGATGGTGAATTTTAGGAACATTAGATGACTTGTAAGAACTTTCTGGAAGCTCAGGCATCTAGCTGGGCTTCAGCAGGAACTACAGACAGGCTAGGTCACATGGCACAGAAAACCTGGACTATTCCAGTTCTAGATTTTTTCACTGGCTAGCACTGAGCTCCAGAGTTAATTCTTCCTCAAGATCTTATTGATTCAGGGCCTGTAATGGTAGATTCTTGTGATGACAGCAGGGGACTTTGCATCCCTATTTACATATAATGCAATGCCTTGGGCTATCCCAGCACACAGGAGAAGTCCTCCAGAGTCTCCTTGTTGGGGGCAGGGCAGAGAGGAAACACATGAATAGATAGGAGGGAGCCTACCCACCCATTTCAGCTTGCAGTTAGGTCTGGAGCCTGATGCCACATCTTAGTTCTGGGGGGCAGCCAACCTATCTTCCTTGTATCATCACATGTTCTCTACAGAGCTGACTGAGTAACCCAAGATAGACCTGGGAAGATGGATACTTTGTTTCCTCAGTTGGTGATCCCTAAACTCTGTGATTAACTGACAATCTTCTGCCTCACCCCCCTCTAGAACTCTAGTTCTCAGGAGGGCTTTTAGAAAACCCTGGTAAGGGGCTCACCTTGTATACATTTTGCATGTTCTTGGGGTTGCCCACACAGAGCTGGGAATTTTGTTGAAAACATGTGAAGTGTTTGCAGGCTTGCTGCTCCAGGAGTCTCATCTTTACTTCCTGCAGTGTTTCTGAGGCTGGTTCTTTCACATTGGTTCTGCCCCAGCCAACTGCCCTGCACGTTCTCCCGGGTGGGATGAAGTTGAAATTGGCAGAGAGTGGGAGGGTTCCCATGCCCAGGGTTAGCTTGGCTTTCTCCTTCAACTGTGAAGGGAATGAGGGGCTCTTAGCCAGGGCCATGGGCTAGGGGATAGTTCCAGGCAATCAGGGAGGGGAAGGACAAAGTACCAAGTCCAACAGGGGAATAAGAGGGAATGCTGTCCATGGCAGTGTAGAGTGAAAAATTATAGATACTGGGTATATAGAATCCTTTTTAGACATAAAATATTCTTTAGGCTTTCTTTACAAAGACATGGAGGCATGAAGCAAGTTAAGAATGTGGACAGACTAATTATGGGAACTGGCTAGAATGCAATTTAGCCAGGTGGAACCAAGCTGAGAACCATAGTGACAGGGCAAGGCTGAAGTAACAGGGCAGGACCACATTCTTGAGAAAGATAAGCGTACAGAGAGTTTTCATCTGACCCTGACTCCCGTAGGTTGGGTTCCTTTGGAATGTTCCACTATTTTCATGTTACACCACCCTAGCAACCTCTCACCCCCTCCCCATTCCTTGGTTTGTGGTTTTTCCCCTTAAAAACCCTTCTCAAACTGTCTTTCGGGGTCAATTCAGCTCCTGCGTGGGCATACGAATTGACCGGCAGCTAGTTGTCATGCCCTAATAAACAACCTCGAAATTGCTCCAGTACATGGTGTCTCGAGCAGATTACTGGGTGTTCGCGACTTTCTGAGACTTGAGAGAGGGTCTCCCCTCTGCAGAGGTCTTCATTGGGGGCTCGTCCTGGATTTGCGACCACCCTGATCTCTGAGACCCCCACTGGGAGGTAAGGGCACCGCGGTTTTGTTTGTGCATTTTGTGTGTCGATCCGTCTCGTTTGGAATTCTGGAAAGTGCACTTCTGTGGTTTGGCTTGGCAGCTGTTTATGTCTCCTAAGAGACAGCAAACCTTTTGTCTCGGCAGGAGGCAAAGGGGTAACCAGCAGACGTGCTAGGATGGTTACCACTGCCACAACCCGGGAGATGTCCCAGGAGAGGAAGGGACCCCAGGGACACCTGGTGGGTGCTCGTCTGGAGGACGGGGAGGACACGGTGGTCCTCTTGCTGGAGGAGGTGTGTAGACCTCCTGGCCATCTGTTTTTCTGTACTGGTGTTGGCTTTCTCGGTTGAGACGGTTAGTCTCTTTGTGTAGTTGTTTTGTCTGTGTTTTGTGTTACTCATGATGTGATAGGGACAATGGACTGTGTGCTTGTGCTTGTGAGGTGTCTGTGCCCATGGCGTGGGGCAGTGTACTGTGTTTGTGAAGTTTCTGTGCACCCATGACAGGGGTGACCGTCTATGTAGTCTGGTTTCTATGCTCGTGGCAGGAGCGGGAACCAGGCAAACCACGCAGAGCAGTTTGAGACCCTGGGAGAGGGTCAGGTTACAAATTCCGGGAGAGAATTTGTAGGAAGTGGAAGCAATGGGACAGATGTGTCGGCACACTGCAGGCCACAGTTCTCTAGAGGATTCTCTGGAATTCGTTTGTATGGGAGATAGGGTCAGAAATGACCCCTTCTCTGTCTGAAGGTGGTCATTGGCCACCGCTGCCTAGGGCGGCGTCTGTTGAAGCTCTCGTGGCTGTGTGTGTGTGTCTAATTCTGTGTTGTTCATTGCTGGTGATGTAAGAAATCTGTTAAATTAGGTCCAGCATGGGCTGGCCATGTCATCTGGTTATTAGGTTCTCTCACCGGCAGTCTTTCATGTCTTGATTGTATAACCTGTCTCCGCACCTGTGACAGGGGCGAGAACTGTCTGTATGTGGTATATTCACCCCCCCGTGATGGGGGTGAACTGACTGTGTTTTTTTTTTCTGTTTTCTTGATGAACTGTTTGCGTGTTTTTGGACTGTGACTGACGTTATTTTAGACTGAATCTACTGTGTTGAATATCCTGAGTTAACAAGAGTTAACATGAGTTAACATGGCCATTGGCAGAGAAATAGCTAAAACAATTGTCCGATCTCCGCGGTGTGTTAGCAAAAGAAAGAGAACTCTCTGGCCCCTACAGGAGAGATTCTTGGTTATGCTTTCTATGTCTATTGTGAGTCCTTGGCGCCAAATTTGTCCACGTGTGTCGTTGTCTGTCTTTGTTTTATTAGAATAAATGTCTGTTCTATGTTTCATGTATAGAAAGAAAGATAAAAAAGGTTAAAACTTATAGGCAAGTCCCCCTGCTCTGTGGATGAAAGTGAGACACAGCAGGAGGAGCCCTGGCAAAAATGATTCTTTGCACAAGCTGCTCTTGGGGAGGCTAAGAACTTTTTGGCTTTCTTGGTAAAGAAACTGATTTTTTTTTCTTCCCCCAAGATTGAAAAGGAGATTTCAGTGTAAGTTTTATCTGGGATCAGATAAGGTCTTGATGAACTACTTCAGGAATTTATAGATAGGCCTAAATTAAGAACTTTCACTTTTGAGTTAAGACAAAGCTCAGAGTGGGCTCAGCAGAAGCTGGTGTGACATTCCTGTTGTCATGGTTACTCTGACTAGCCCCTGGAAAGGTGTTTTCTGGAATTTGTTTTATTGCCTCGCTTCTTCCTTGGGGAAGACAGGTCAGCCTCAGACCCAAGGACATTTACAAGAGACAGTTTATGGTCCAGGAGCTATATAATGATTATTCTGTAGAAATTAGAATTACAGCCTGACTTGCCTACTCCATCTGCCATTCCAAGAAATACATATAAAATTATTATAGATTTAGAAGAGTGTTTTTATACTGTTCCTTTAAGATGAGAGGTTTACATGCAGTGAGTATCCTTGTAATTTTTGAGAGTCCATGAAGTGATATCACCAGAAAGTTTTGCCTCAAGGAATGGCTAATAGCCTTATAACAAGTTAAGAGTAAGAAAAGTAAAAACAAAAAACAGTTTCAATTGACTTTTGGAGCCCTGCCTTGGTCTCATTGATTATTGAGTTTAGCAGGTGACAAGGTGCTTCTTTTGAAATTACAGCCAGAAAAAGTAAGAAAATTTTGTTTGAAAAAAAAATAATATAAGCTGTGCATTTACTTCATTTTTGTTTATGACTAGTTTTAAAAGTATAAGAATGTTCTGCATGTCTTGGTTATAGATTATTTGGCCTATAAGGTATTGGGTATGGTTAAAAATTTGCAACCTTGGTAAAAGAAAGTTGGCTTAAAGCTGGTAACTCAGGTTTGGAGTCATTCAGAAACCAGATGTATAGAGATAGGATTTAAAACAATGTCTCTTATGAGTTATTAAAAGCTACACTATCATGCATTCATATATAGGAACTGACAGCCAACTTTGTAACCTGAAAGTAATGCATTTAGTGTTGATTTTAGAGAAAATGGATTGTTTACATTGTTAAAAATTGGTTTTGTTTCTCATAATTATGGTTACACTCTAGTATTGCAAAAAGAAACTTAAAAACGTATAATGAAACAGTGGCTGCAGTTGACAGTTCAATCGTGAGCTCCAGAAATTTTGACTCACTCATGTTTATGGTTGAGAAGAAGATAGAGCAGGTGGAAATGATTGCTAGAGTAAGAAAAAATAAGAACAGCTGTGACACAGTACCAGCCTGCTGTCAATTAGATACAGTGGTAAAGACAAATTTAGCCCCCCCCCCTTAAGAAAGAGAAGAGATATCTGTGGGGTTCTTAGAAGACTAATCACCCCTCCTTTCCAGACAACCCAGCCAGTCTGACGGGACTGGTAGAGTCTTTAATGTTTACCCTCCAGCACACCTGAGATGATTGTCAATAGAGTTTACAGGTTCTCTTTACTACTGAAGAAAAAGAAAGAATTCTGTTAGAAGCCTGTAAGAACGTTCCTGGTGACAACGGGCAGCCTTCGCAGCTTCCCAATGAGATTGATGCCGGATTCCCCCTTAACTGCAGGCAAGGGGTGGCTGGTGGTCTACCATCGGGCTCTAGCGGGTCTCCAAGGGCAGCGAGATGGCCCACCAATTTGGCCAAGATAAGAGAAGTCCTTCAGGGACCAAACGAGCCACTGTCTGTGTTTCTTGAGAGGTTACTGGAAGATTTAGTTAAGGAGGCAGAGAAAGTGTACTATAAGAGGGAGAGAAAGAAAGAAAGAAAGAAAGAAAGAAAGAAAGAAAGAAAGAAAGAAAGAAAAGAGAGAAAAGGCAGGTGAGATTGCAGACAAGAAAGATTTTGGCCACAGTGCAGGAGAGAAAGACGAGATAGGATAGGACTTAGACAGACAGAGAACCTGGGTGACAAAGGTGGAAGCCCCAGATATCAGTGAATGGCTAGCAGAATTCCCAAAAGTTTGGGTTGAAACCAAAGAAGCCAGGCACTAATGGTTACAAGCCAATACAAGATCTAAGAAAAGTCAATAAGGGAGTACAAGACACTTAACCTCCTCAGTTTGCTCCCTCCAGAGAGGACTTTTGGGAGCATCAACTATCTGGCAGCCCCCTGACCGATGGATGACTAATGCTCGCATGATGCATTATCAGAGCCTGTTGTTGACTGAAAGGGTGATCTTTGCACCCCCGGCCATCTTGAATCCTGCCACCTTGCTGCCTGTGACTGACGACTCCTCTCCCGTCCATCACTGTGTTGATATTCTGGCAGAAGAAACAGGTACTTGGAGCAACCTGAAGGACCAGCCCTGGCCAGGAAGTCTGAACTGCTATACAGATGGCAGCAGTTTCTTGGTGGAAGGTAAGCGAATGGCGGGAGATTCAGTGGCAGATGGAAAGCGAGTACCGATATGCCTTTGCCATGGCTCATATACATGGTGCAATCTATAGACAAAGAGGGCTACTGACAACTGCAGAAATACTGAGCCTCTTTGAACCAAAGGTTGCTTTTCAACCTCAAGCCTCTGCCATGTGGCTTCTTTAGATGTTTTGTTATGGGCTTCTAGGAGGACTGTTATAGACCTGTTGTGAGAAAGGTTGGACACTGAGCATGTAGGAATTGGCAGAGTACTTGTGTAGCAAACATGAGTCTCTGAGTTTGAGCCACAGCACTATATAAAGTGGTATGATGGTTCATGTCCATAACCTCTGCACTTGGGTGGTAGA